CCCCTAGATCAGCTTCTCCTCCTTCTGCGACGAATTTGACTTCTCCGTCTGTCTCTCATCCTCCACTGCTGCATCCTCCCCTGCCTCCGTCTTCCTGCCTGGGGCCGGGGTGTCCCCGGCGATGGTCCCCAGGACTTTGGTGCTGTGCTCCTGAGCTTTGGCCCTGAGGGCAGCAATGCTGTTTTCTCTCAGTTCCTCCTGGGAAATGGTGGTTTTGGGATCTGGGCCCCTCTCTTCCTTGTCACCTTTGTCAAGCTTGGGCAGGGCCTGGCGTTCCACCTCCGTCTTCCTCCCCGCCTCAGCTGCTGCTTCCAGAGACTTTTTGTGCATCCCTAAAAAGAATTGTTGGTATTCGGGTTTAGAAAAGCGCCTGGGCATGGGAAAGCCATCTTGAACTGAAAACAGCAAAGATAAAGAGAGGCCAGAATTAAGGAAAAGCAGAAACCCTCGCTTCACGCTCGCTGTGGCCCCCGCGCGAGGGCAGCCCAGGCGAGGCAGCTGCCTGCCGGGGACGCGCCAGCCATGGCTGGAGGCTGCCCCCAAAGGTCTCTAACCGCTCTCTCCCCTTCACTTCTGTCCGTGAACCTAAAGCTAACTTGTCCCCGCATGAGGACGAAGGTCTCAGACAGCAGCACAGTTGCCTGAGCTTCACTGAGGCTGCCAAGGGAAATCCCCCGTTGTCTATTCCTGTATCAACCCACTCTTCATGCAACCCACCCCTCTGCCTCTCAGTTTCACACAGACAGAAGGACAGGACAGCCCATCGTCAAGATGTCAGACATTAGTTTTGGGGCAGAATCAGCCTGAAAGGTCAGAAAGTGGGAAGCAGAGAGCGGGAGCATGGTAGGGTAGCTGCTACCTCCGTGGCTGCATGGAAAACCAAGCAAAAACAGGCAGAAATGCAGCTCCTCCAGGTGATGAGAGCAAGAGGAGGCAGTAGCGTGTTGCCTCAGGATCTGAGGCAAAGGAAGCACATTTGGAGGTCCCAGCACCCCACACAGCATCACAGGGCCAAGGGAGCTGGATCAAGATGGCCTCCTGCCTTGGAAAGGGTTGGAGCCGGTGCTCCAGGGCTGGGTGTGAGGGATGCTCCTGCCATGAGAGCCAAAGGCCAACACCGAGCCTGAGCACGAGGGGTCAAACTCCTGCCCTGGCCAGATCCTGCAGGTCAGGATCCGAGGACCGGTAGGGAATTGGGATGAGCAGTCAGATTCTATTGAGGAGGGGCCATTGGGGAACAGGAGGTGGAAGGTGGCCTTGCCCCGCCGCCCTCCGCCCACGTTTTTGGCACAGCTCCAGTTTCTTCCTTGCATCACCCCACTTCATCTCAACCCACCCACCATCTCCCATGAAGGTGGCTGCTTGCTTACCCAGGAGCCATGGGGCGCAGGACTCCATGATGCCGTCCTTGGCAGACTTGAGGATGGATTCGGGCAGTGGGATGGAGTGACGCACCATGGCACCGTAGAGCCCATATTCAGCCATCACACTGCTCCTGCCCCAGCACTTCTCCCTCTTCCGCCACTTGGCCCGGCGGTTCTGGAACCAAACCTGGGGTGGATGACAAAGAAGGACATCTTTTTCTTGGGGGCACAAGGTGTGTCAGTCCCCTTCCTGCATGGGAACACACATGTGCTTGCGCAGTGGGAGGAAGGTGGACGCGTGGATGCTCATCTTGAAAGCACTGCGACCTCTTTCCCCATGCAGCAGCTCCCATGTATCTCTCCCTCGCTTCCCTTGCAGGAGCGGCAAGGGCCAAGTGTGAGAGCAGGTCCCATCCGTCTCCGCAGGATGTAATTAATTTGCCATCACGGTGTCTTTTTCTAGTGGCTTTTGGCTCTCGTGCCTGGGATTCTCTTTCATTATTTACTGGGTGCCTGAGCTGCCGGCAGCGGTGCCTGCAGGGAGGATCGGGATGGGGGTGGATGCTCAGGAGAGGTGCGAGAAGGGGAAGCTGATCCGTGTGCTTCGCCCTGAATTCCCAGTTTGAAAAGCCCCTCATCTTCTCAGAAAATTGGCAGAATAATCTCTGAGCTGTGACCTGGGGGGCAGCCAGCAGAGAGGCGAGTGGCAATGAGGGGGCGGGGGGGGGATGCTCGCAGAAATCTATTAGCACTCGCTCTCCGATTTCCATTCCTCTTGTCTCCCTCACCCTCCTCCCTCCCCTGCTCCC